GCTGCTGAGGCTGCTGGGGGTGGGAATTTAGTATTACAAGGAGCAAAGTTGGTTTTGAAATGGTGACCCAGAGAGGTGCAATGATTTTGGCTGGCTCCTTGTAAGTTGTGAAGGAGGGCCTTGTCTGAAACAAAAGAACTGTGTTTTATTGTTGTTGTTTGGTGCTCGGATTGAACCCAGGGCCTGTGAATGCACTGTACTAGCAAACTACATCCTCAGCCCCCAAAACCAACTTCAAGGAGCATTAACAGTCATTTGAAGGGGTGCGGCTCCCTTCCCTAAAGCACAGGTGCTTGCACCCGACAGGGCCAGAGCTGAAGGACAGTGACAGAGAGAGAGAGGGAGAGGGAGGGAGGGGGGGAGGGAAGATGGAGGGAGCTTGCACAGAGAAACTGAGAGAGACAGCCAATGGTTCTAGACTTTGCTGGCAGCAAAGGGAAGCCCTTGAGGTTTTATGGAAAGAACAGTATGGTTTGTTTGTTTTGGTGCTGGTCTTGGGGCTTGAACTCAGGAACTGGTGTTTGTTTGTTTGTTTTGGTGCTGGTCTGGGGCTTGAACTCAGGATCTGGACACTGCCCCTGAGTTTTTCTGCTCAAGGCTAGCACTCTACCACTTGAGCCACAGTGCCACTTCCAGCTTTTTGGTGGTTAATTGGAGATAAGAGCCTCACTGACTTTTCTGCTCACTCTGGCTTCTAACTACAATCCTCAGATCTCAGCCTCCCGAAGAACTGGAATTACAAGCCTGGCATGGCATGGCCTTCTGTCCAGGCAGGATTCAGAGGACAGAATCAGGCAGGTCCGTGAGGTTCGTGGAGAAAATGGCATCATTGCATTCACTACCCCTACCTGAAAGCCAGCATTTCCTTCCAACACAAATGTGAGCGACGCTCCAGTACACCAGGGTGCTCGTGGCTCAGTTCCCACCGCCCAATGGATTGGGGTGCTTTGTAGCTTGGTTCCCACAGTCCAAGGGATCAGGTTGCTCATGGCTCCGTTCCCATAGCACAGTGGGTTGGGGTGCTCATGGCTTGGTTCCCACACCCAGTGGACAGGAGTGCTTGTGGCTTGGTTCCTATCATCTGGCGGGTCACGGCACCCATGGCTCTCTCCTCACAGGCACCACAGATGGTACAAAGGACAACATTACCACAACCCTGTTTAGCAATCATACTTGGGTTTATTTTCAGCTCTGGAGTTGGGCAACACTTATATCCACAAAATAGGAGAGGGAGTGTCTGGAGGAGCCAAGTGGAAGAGGGTGCGTCAGCAGGCACAAAGAGGCCGGAGAAAGCAGAAGCCCCCCACGTGTAGGGATCATACCCGAGTCTGAGAGGTGTCCAGAGCAGCGCCATCCTCCTGGTTGAGACCGAGTGAAACGCAGTCCTGGCAGGCTTCATGGTAGAAGCTAACTGGAGTAGATACAAGATGAATGAAGCAGCACCTTAAACTTTAAATATTCTGTTTTTTGCCTGGGAAGGTGGCTTAGTGGTGGAATACTTGCCTAGCATGCCATATACACAGAAAAGGCCAGAAATGGCACTGTGGCTCAAGTGGTAGATTGCTAGCCTTGAGCACAGAGAGGCTTAGGGACAGTGCCCAGGCCAGGCCCTGAGTTCAAGTCTCAGGACTGGCAAAAAAAATATTCTGCTTGGGCTGGGAAGGTGGCTCAGTGGTACAGTGCTTGCCTTGCATGCATGAGGCCCTGGGTTCGAGTCCTTAGCACCACATAAGCAGAAAAGGCCGGAAGTGGTGCTGTGGCTCAAGTGGTAAAGTGCTAGCCTTGAGCTGAAGAGCTGAGAGACAGTGCCCAGACCTAGAGTTCAGGCCCCATGATCGACAATAAAAAAAAAAAAGTTCCGTTTTGTGAATGTTGAAAATTCAGGGTGAAGATTTTCTTCATTTCATCTTACCCCTTCTTTTAAAACAAAGCCTAGTAGATGCCAGGCACTGGTGGCTCACACCTGTAATCCTAGCTACTCAGGAGGCTGAGATCTGGAGGATACAAGTTCTAAAGCCAGCCTGGGCAGAAAAGCTTGAGAGACTCTATTTCCAATTAACTAGCAAAAAACTGGACTGTGGTGTGGCTCAAGGATGACAGGCATATGTCACCAGTGCCTGGCTGATATTTAAAAGTTTGTGGGTAATCCAAAGGAAAAAGGGTTATACTCTTAAATGTATTAGCCTCAGCACAGAAAAAAAATGTTTGGAAGTAAATACTTTGCCAGAATAAAAGGTACTTGCCATGAGACTGATTGGGACACATGGTAAATATGTATAGAAATTTCACAGTGAGGGCTGGGAAGGTGGCACAGTGGTAGATGCTTGCCTTGCATGCATGAGGCCCTGGGTTCGATTCCTCAGCACCACATAAACCGACAAGGCCAGAAGTGGCGCTATGGCTCAAGCGCTAGAGCACTAGCCTTGAGCTGAATAGCTGAGGGACGCATCCAGGCCCAGAGTTCAGCCCCCACAACCGACAAAAAAAGAAAGAAAGAAAGAAAGAAAGGAAGGAAGGAAGGAAGGAAGGAAGAAAGAAAGAAAGAAAGAAAGAAAGAAAGAAAGGAAGGAAGGAAGGAAGGAAGGAAGAAAGGAAGAAAGAAAGAAAGATTATACAGTGAAATCCCCCTCTGTATAACAATTGTAAGCCAATAATAATTTAAAAATGGGGTTGGGAAGGTGGCTCAGTGGTAGAGTGCTTGCCTTGCATGCCTGAGGCCCTGGGTTTGATTCCTCACCACCACATAAGAAAAAAGAAAAAAGCCGGCAGTGGCGCTGTGGCTCAAGTGGTAGAGCGCTAGCCTTGAGCTGAAGAGCTGAGGGACAGCGCCCAGGCCCAGAGTTCAGGCCCCATGACCGGACCCAAAAAAAAAAAAAATAATAATAATTTAAAAATTACTTACCAGCTGGGTGGGATGGGTGAGAAGCTGTAATTCCAGGATCTGGGAGGCTGAAGCAGGAGGATCATGAGTTTGAGGCTAGTTTGGGCTATACAGTAAAATTCTGCATGGAAAGGAAACAAAGAACAAGAAGCTGGGCGCTAGTGGCTCACGCCTGTAATCCTAGCTACTCAGGAGGCTGAGATCTGAGGATCACAGTTCAAAGCCAGCCTGGGCAGGAAAGTCTATGAGACTCTTAACTCTAATTAGCCACCAGAAAACTGGAAGTGGTGCTGTGGCTCAAGTGATAGAGCACTTGCCTTGAGCTGAAGAGCTGGGGGACAGTGCCCAGGCCCAGAGTTCAAGCCCCATGACTACCACCACCAACAACAAGAATGAGAAAAAGAAAGAGGAGCAGAGGGGAGAAAGGAAGGAATGGAGAGATAGAGAAAAGAAAACTTTTTCTCAGCAGGCACTGGTAGCTCACGCCTATAATCCTAGCTGCTCAGGAGGCTGAGATCTGAGGATTGCTGTTTGAAGCTGGGGCAGGAAAGTCTGTGAAATCTTTATCTCCAATTAACCACCAAAAAGCTGGAAGTGGAGCTGTGACTCAAGTGGTAGAGTGCTAGCCTTGAGGAGAAAAAAAAAAAAAGCTCAGGGACAGGAGCCAGGCCCTCAGGCCCTGAGTTCAAGCCCTAGGACTGGCCTCCCCAAAAGTCCCTTCCTTGGTAAGGTGAAGAGACAGGCTCATAGATCGGCTGCCCTTGGTGACGGGACTCAGGTAGGAGGGCCCTCTCAATCATGTGGCTGTCACTGGGCCTTGTGGGTCAGATATGCAGGGTGCCACAAGCAGCTGACCTTCAGCCCAGTGACCTGGAAACCAGGCCCAGAGACTGTGTGATTGGTTTAGCCTGGTCTGTTGGAGATCAGAGGAGGACTCCAAAGACTGGCTTTGACCAGGGACCTCTGCCCTCACTCTTCCCCCCCTTCTCCCCCCCATCTATGGGCCTCTGAAAAATCCCTTTGTCACCAACCAGATCCAGCCAACAAGAAGCAAACCAAGCAGACGAGGCTCAGCTTTCAGGAAGCCAGCCCCTGGAAAATCTTGTGCACCTTGTCCTCGATTTTTGTCCCTGGGGGAATCGGGTGACAGTTCGCTGATTCTTCTCTGAGCCAGCCGACTTAGGTGTCTTCTTAGACACCGTCTCAGGATGTTGCCCAGGCTGACCTTGCATGTGAGATCCTCTCCTCCCTCAGCTTCCTGAGTGCTGGGATTATAAGTGGTGTGTGTCACCTCACCCTCTCTGGGCCAACAGACTTTGTCTTCGGTCATTGTAAGTTCTCTATGCCCATGTTTTGCTTAAAAAAAAAAAAAAATTACTAACTAGGTGCCAGTGACTCACACCTGTCATCCTAGCTACTCAGGAGGTTGAAATCTGAGGATCATGCTCCAATGCCAGCCTGGGAAGGAAAGATCATGAGACTCTTATCTCTAATTAACTACCAAAAAGCCAGAAATGGCACTGTGGCTCAAAGAGACAAGGCACTAGCCTTCAGCACAAAGCTCGGGTACAATGTCCAGGCCCTGACTTCAACTCCAGGACCAGCACAACAAAAAAGAGGGTGGATATAAAGCAAAGACACACCACACCACACCACACCACACACACACACACACACACACACACACACACACACACACACACACACACACACACACACACACACACACAAGGGGGGGATATGCATCTTGATTATGTTGGATTAGGGTGCAATTACTGTCCTGTGGCTTTTGTCATCTTGTTACCAGATGGAGGACTCCCAAAAGATCTTGTCTCATCAGAGAAAGAATTCAGAGTTAGAAGCAGGGGTTTCGTGAGAATAGGATAGGCATGCTCCGGGAACACCAGAACACATTCTCTAGGTGGGAATTGGGCAGGCTCGACCTGAGCAACTGCCCTGAGGCCTTTAGACTTGGGCTCTTGTTGAGTCATAAACCCTTCCCACGTGTGCAGAGGCGTTTGTAGGCCTGGAAGTCAAACCACGAGTGTCATGGTGGGTGGGGATTTGCTCACCTGCAAAGCTAAGTGCCTGTGGATTGCCTGAAGGTCACTCAGTCAACATGGCAGCTGGCCACAAGGTAAGTCACAAGATGTTCCAAAAATCACCTCCAGGCCACTGTTCCCATTGGAGTTTCTTCACTAAATCCTTTCTGGATTTTTTCCCCTTTGCCTATTAATCACTCTGAATGTCTTCCTTCTTACTTAATCTGTTTTAGGCCAGCCACACTTGAGCAGGTGGAAGGAAGTGCCCTGGCCTCCTGTGATCGGTGTTTAATGTCTGGTGACCGCCAGAGGTCTCCATGTATTACTTATGCCTGCTTATTTGAAGACTTGGGGGTCACATCAAATCCCTTTAAGTACGTAATTTTGTGTTTGTTTTGGTGCCAGGGACGGAACAACCCAGGGCCTGTGGACATGAAACCCCCACCCCCAGTTACCCCCACTCACTGGGCAGTGGTTCTAGGAGGTCTATCCTGGCTGGCTGGATACTGTTTAATACTTTATAGCATGAAGGTGTGGCCAAACTTGCCACCAGCAGTCATGCCTAGCTACTCAGAGGGCTGAGAGCTGAGGACTGTGGTTGTAGTCGGCCCTGGCTGACAAATCTGAGAGACCCGTATCAGTGATTAACCCAAGGAAAAGTAGGAGTGGAGGTGTGGCTCAAATGGTAAAGCACCAGCCTCCAGTGGAAAGTTAAGGCCATGTGTTTCCATACCACTATTAGCACAAAAAATGGAGGGAGGGAGGGAAGGAAGAAAGGAGGGAAAGACCAAAGGAAGGGAGGGAGGGAAGAAGTGAAATCTTATTTGACCTTTACAAAAAATAGAAATAAAAACAAAAAATAGAAAGTGAAAACATTTGAGATTTTATTTGACTTTCCCAACTTCATAGAAACTTTGTTTCTGCTTTTTGATAATTTTTTAGTTTGTTTCTGGTTTTTTTTTGTTTGTTTTTTGGTTGTGGGTCTTGAACTCTGGGCCTGGGCACTGTCCTTGTGCTCTTCAGCTCAAGGCAAGCGCTCTACCACCTGAGCCACAGCGCCACTTCTGGTTTTTCTAGTGGTTTATTGGGGATAAGAGTCTCATGGACTTTCCTGCCCGGGCTGACTTTAAACTGTGATCCTCAGATCTCAGCCTCCTGAGTAGCTAGGATGACAGGTGTGAGCCACTGATGCCTGGCTTGTTTCTGGTTTTTTGGAGGCCCAAACTGCCTCCTGCTCTGTCCTTTTTATCTTCTTCTCCGCTTCTGCCTGGGGTTGTTTACCCGGTCTACTGGCCTTTACCCAAGAGTATTGATTTCCAAGTGCCTCCCCAGTACATATGCCGCTAAGCCTTGACTTTTCTCTAGTTAATCTGTCTCCCTTCATGGTTAATTCCCAGGCCCCGGCCAGGGAACCCAACCAGGCACAGAACCTGAGAGAGCAGGGGAGAGACTCCGGGAACAGGTGAGGGTGGAGAGCAGCCGCTGGGGATGCCAGTGGGTGTGGGGAATGGCTTGGCCGTGGAAGGAGATCACCAGACCGGATGGGGGAGGCTGGAGAACGCAGGCCGGGGGGAGGGGGGGGCTGGGGCCTGAGCTCAGCAAGGTGCGCTGTCAGCTCAGGTGTGCGCGGGGGTGGAGGCTGAGGTGAGTTGTACAGGGTCAGTGACCTTCATGGGGAGTCAGGGCTGGCCTTGCACACACTGTATGATCCAGGCTGGCCTCTACCTCCAGATCCTCCCAAGAGCTGGGACCAGAGGCGTGCTCCACCATGCCTGGACAAGGGGGTTGCTTGTTAAAGTACAGCACCCAGATCCCGTCTGGGGATGGGAAGCTCAGAGCACAGGAGAGAAGTGCAGGTCAGCCAGCCAGACACCAAACCCACCTCCCACCCTGGGGGCCAACCAACACCCAGCTGTGTTGCTGCTCAGTGGGGCCCGGACCACGGGCAGTCGGAGAAGGACACCAGTCAGCGCACAAAGGAAAACCGTATCGTCAGAGGCCACTCAGAGGCTGCTTTTGGCGCTGGTGGCTCACGCCTGTGATCCCAACTTCTCAGGAGACTGAGATCTGAGGATGGTGGGTCAAAGCCAGCTCAGATAGACAAATCCAAGAGATTCAGAGAAAAGCCAGAAGTGGAGCTGTGGCTCAAGTGGTAGAGCACCACAGCCTTGACCAAAAAAAAAAAATAGCTGAAATACAGCATCCAGGCCTTGAGTTCAAGCCCTGATATCGACAAATTAAAAGAAAACAGGTATAGGGAAAGGGGCCAGAAGCCCCAGCTGCAGCTGGGATGGACAACAGATGGAGGACAGAGAAGCGGCTGGCGCTCCCAGGCAGATCTCCGGTCAGGCTGAGGGAGTGGGCATGGCCGACAGCAGCCTCCCATCCCCCGGGCCCCAGGACACAAATATCTGCTCCCAAAGAAAGGGCACTGGGTCACGCAAGGCTGCTGGCTCAGAGTTCCCCACTGGGCACTAACTCCAGAAATAGCCCTGCGATGGGCGGTCATCACAGGGCTCTGCAGAGGCGGGCGGGCAGGGAGCCGGGGCCAGCGGCCTCCCGCATGCTGGTGGTCAGCGCCTCTGGCCCTTTCCTCACAATTCACTATTTTATTTTTGCCAGTGCTGGGGCTTGAACTCAGGACTTGGGTGCTGTCCCCGAGATGTCTTTTTTATCCCTCTTCAAGGTTGGCACTGTACCTGGCACTTGAGCTGGTGAATTGGAGATAAGAGTCACATGGACTTTTCTGCAGGGGCTGGTTTCAAACGCTGATCCTCAGCTCTCAGCCTCCTGAACAGCTTAGGATGATAGGTGTGAGCCACCAGTAACCAGTTGAGAATTCATACACACTCACACACACACACAATATATATATATATACATATATAGAATATATATACATATATAGAATATATATATATATATGTCAGAGTCAAGGGCAACTCTCAGATGTCTGGACAGATGGGTGACATGTGTGTGTGTGTATGTGTGTGCGTGTGTGTGTGTGTGTGTGTGTGTGTGTGTGTGTGTAGGTAGTTAGTTAGGTAGAGGCCCCAGTTCCTCCTTAGCTGTCACCTCCTTTCCCGCAGGCTTTTTCTTCCTGCTCTCTGGGCCACTAGACCATGCCATGGCTGGCAGGTTCCTTGGCACGGTGACCAGAGCACCTCTCACCTTCTGGCACTCTGCCTTTCATGAGCCAAGCCAACCCCCCACCACCCTGGAGCAGAGGCAGGTGGGGCTGGCCCGTGTCCTGTCATCAGACTGGCGCTGGCCACCTGCAGATCTGGCGGGTGTGAGGGGAAACTGTCTGACCACAGGGGTCAGGAGACACTTTGGACTGAGACACAGGGCAAGGGTTGGTTCCCAGGCTCCAGGGGGAGGGGCCTGGGCATCCCTGGGAGGGTGCAGGGCTGCACCAGCATCAGCTGAACCTATTTCAACCTGCCCAGGGAGCTAGCTGCCCATGTTCCTAATGTCACAGAGCCTGGCATCTAGTCTGGGAGCTTGTTCCAGCACGGTCCAGGCACCCAGCCATGGGTCTCGGAGTTCAGGGTGGCCAGTGGGTACCCCAGGAGAGGGAAAGAGGCAGTGGAAGTGGAGAAGAGAGCTGGGGTCACTGTGTGAGTTTGGCTCAGCCTCTGAGGGGGAAAGGAAGGAGGGAGGAAAAGAAAGGAAAAAGGAAAGAGGGAGTGAGGTAGGCTGGGAAGGTGGCTCAGTGGTAGAGTGCTGGCCTAGCATGCATGAGGCCCTGGGTTCAATTCCTCAGTACCACATCCACAGAAAAAGCTGGAAGTGGCGCTATGGCTCAAGTGGTAGAGTGCCAGCCTTGAGCAAAAGCAGCTCAGGAGCAGTGCCCAGGCCCTGAGTTCAAGCCCCAGGACTGGCAAAAAGAAAAAAAAAAAGAGAGGGAGGAAGGGAGGGAAAATGGCTAATGTATTATATTATGTGTGTTTTTGTGCTGGTAATGGTGCTTGAATTTATGGCCTGGGTACTCTTCCTTAGGGTTTTTGTTTTTTTTTTGGGGGGGGGTGTCTGGTTATGGGGCCTGAACTCTGGACCTGGGCGCTGTCCCTCAGCTCTTCAGCTCAAGACTAGCGCTCTACCACTTGAGCCACAGTGCCACTTTTGGCTTTTTTCTTTTTGTTTATGTGGTGCTGAGGAATCAAACCCAGGGCCTCGAGCATGCAAGGCAAGCACTCTACCACTGAGCCATCTTCCCAGCCATTTTGTTTTGTTTTGTTTTTTGTTTGTGGTTTTTTTCTTTGGTCATGGGACTTGAACTCTGGGCCTGGGCGCTGTCCCTCAGCTCTTCAGCTCAAGGCTAGTGCTCTACCACTTCATCCACATCACTTTCAGCTTTTTCTGTGTATGTGGTGCTGAGGAATTAACTCAGGGCCTCATGCATGCGAGGCAAGCACTCTACCACTGAGCCACCTTCCCAGCCCCTTCCTTAGTTTTTTTACTCAAGGCTTGTGATCTATCACTTGAGCCACAGTTCTACTTCTGGCTTTTTGTTGGTTAATTGGAAATAAGAATTTCAGACTTTCCTGCCTAAGCTGGCTTATAACCTTGATCCTCAGATCTCAGCCTCCTGAGTAGCTAGGATTATAGGTGTGAGCCACCAGTGCCTGGCTATCTTTTTGGTTTAATTTGATAAATGTTATTCCATTATGGGATACATATAAGACAAAAATGTATTCTATTATAGGATACATATAATAAAATGGTTGGCGGGTACCAGTGGCTCACTCCTGTAATCCTAGCTCTTCAGGAGGCTGAGATCTGAAGATTGCAGTTCAAAGCCAACCCAGGCAGGAAAGTCCATGAGACTCTTATCTCCAACTAACCACCAGAAAACTGGAAACGACGCTGTGGCTCAAGTGGTAGAGCACCCGCCTTGAGCTGAAGAGCTGAGGGACAGTGCCCAGGCCCAGAGTTTAAGCTCCACAACCGATAAAAATAAAATAAAATAAATTCAGGACATATTCTAAAAAATTAAGAAAAGCGAGGGAAGGAGTGTGTTGGTAGGGAGGGGTGGGTGAGAAGGTGGAGGGTGATATCCACCAAGACACACTGTATTCCTAAACTGCTTTGCTGAGTGGCAACTCCTTTGTACAATTGCTTAAAGGTAAGAATAATAATAATTATTTTTTAAAAAAGCACCACCTAACCAACCGTTGAGGGCTCAGGCCTGTCATCTAAGCCACTCAGGAAGTGAGGGCTGAGGATTGCAGTTCAAAGCCAGCCTGGACAGAAAAGTCTGTGTGACTCTTAGCCTCTATTAATCACCAAAAAGCTGGACGTGGAGTTGTAGCTCAAGTGGTAGAGTGTTTGCCTTGAGTGAAAAAGCCAAATGAGGGTGTACACCACACACACACACACACACACACACACACACACACACACACACACACACACACTCTCATGGAGGCACAAACACACATGCCCAAACACACAAGCAGTGCCCTGGTGGTAGAGGGGGCATCCAAACCCCTCCCAGGCAGCCTTCCCTGCCTGCCAGCCCAGCCCCCTCTCTGGGCTCCACAACTCACATCTGATTTCAGGGCTCAGCGCAGCCAGATAAGTGGAAAAGGTGCTGCTAAGGTTGGCTTCCCAGGAGCCTATGCACCCCAAACCACAGCTCAGGACCCACGGCCCCCAGATTCTACCAGAAACATTGTCCTTTCCTGTCCAATTTGTGGCTGCCCCCCACCCCCGTCAAGGCCAAGATCAGACACCCCAGTCTGTCCTGGAGCATGCAGCCGGATGTCAGTCCCCCATATTGGTCTCCATTTCTACTGGCCTGAGTGAGCCCCAAAATGCAGGCCACCAAACGGAAATCCTCACAAATCCTTTCTGGATGTGGTGGCTTCCACCGGTAATCCTAGCTACCCAGGAGGCTGAGATCTGAGGATCAAGGTTTGAAGCCAGCCTGGGCAGACGTCTCCCATCAGCAAAATAACCAGCAAAAACCTGGACTGGAAGTGCAGCTCCACAGTGGCTAAGTGCCAGCCCAGCGAGTGTGAGGCCCCGAGTTTAAATCCCAGTCCTGCCACCAAGAGAACAGGCTGGGCGTTGGTGGCTCATGCCAGCGTGTGCGTGTGCATGCGTGTGCAGGCTGTGGGTGGAAGCCAGATGCCAGGCCTACCGGGAGCAGCACAGCTGCACACCCCCGGGCAGTGAGGTCCGGGCCGTGGATCCAGCTGCCTCTTTCAGTGCCACCTGTTTCCTGTTTTGCAAGGTGATGGGGACACAGAGGCGGCTGAGGTAACCAGAGGTCAGGTGAGGCTCCGTGCCAGGCCACCTGGGGCTGGCCAAGTGGTAGGTGTGCGTGGAGCAGGCCCAGTGCCCTCAGGGGGCTTGGCTGGGTGCGCCTGGCTGGGGGTAATGGTGGCCCAGAACCTCATTGGCTTGGGCTGGAGCTGACTCCAGCCCAGGGGGCGGGGCCCCAGCAACTGCAACCTGCATGTGCTGCCCCTTCCCCATCAGGGCGCCTCTGCCTCCTCCCAGCCGGCTGCAGCCCCCTGCCATGAGCCACCTGGAGGACAGGGAGGACCACCTCTGCAGCTGTCTGGAGGAGGAGGACAGCTGGAACCTGTCCTTCTCCGGCGCCGGCTTCCTGGGCCTCTACCATGTGGGGGTGACCTACTGCCTGAGCCAGCGCGCACCGCACCTCCTCCAGGGTGCCCGCCGCATCTACGGCTCCTCCTCTGGGGCCCTCAACGCGCTCAGCATCATCTGTGGCAAGTCTGTGGGTGAGTCTGGTAGTACCAGGGTGTGGAGATGGGGGAGGGCATGGGGAGGAAGGCCCAATCATTTATTTTACCATGACCAGTCCTGGGTCTGGAACTCAGGGCCTGGGCTGTGTGCCTGAGCATTTTGTTTTTGCTTAAGACTGGCACGCTACCACTTGAGCCACAGCTCTACTTCTGGCTTTTTGGTAGTTGATCTGAGATAAGGGCCTCAGGGACTTTCCTGCCCTGGGTGGCTTTGAACCATGATCCTTAGAGCTCAGTAGCTGGGATTACAGGTGTGCGCAGCAGGCACCAGCCAATACTGATTCTTGATGGGAAGGGCCTTGTATGCTCAGAAGGCGCTGGCTCCTGGCACCGTACCATAAGATTCCGGCAGCCAGCCTGGCCCCAGGCTCACTCCGTGTGGTCTGGGGAGCGTGGCCTCCCTTTGTGCAGACAGGGGCTCTCCGAGGGCTCAGGCTGGGACTTTGTTCCCAGGGGCCCTTAGGGGCAAAGATTTAGCATTTGAACCCAGGGCTTTCTATGCCCAGGATTGGGCATGGCGGGGGGGGGAGAGAGGAGGAGAGAGAATGAGGGAAAGAGGAAGGGAGGGAGGGAAGGGAGGAAAGGAAGAAGAGAGGCAGGAGGGTCCCGGGCAGCTGAGGACGTGCCCTGCCCGCTGCCCCTGCAGACTTCTGCTGCTCGAACCTGCTGGGTTTGGTAAAGCAGGTGGAGCGCCTGAGCCTGGGCATCCTCCACCCGGCCTACGCGCCCATCGAGCACATCCAGCAGCAGCTGCAGGATCACCTGCCCAGCGACAGCCACATCCTGGCCTCCCGGCGCCTGGGCATCTCCATAACCCGCTGGCCCGACGGCCAGAACGTCATCGTCACTGACTTCGCCACGCGGGAGGAGCTCATCCAGGTGAGTGGGCGTGGGTCGCGGGATGTGGGGGGTTGCAGGGCGTGGGGCCACCCCCACCCCATGCCAGTGCCACCTTGCCTGGGGGGCCTGGCCAGTGCCGAGCCAGGGACCGGAGCCCCCAGGGTCTGTTCACACAGGAGACGGGCCACGGAGGAGCCCCTGGGGCACTGGGCAGGCCGGGGAGGGCCACGCAGTCACCCCTCCCCAGGGCTGCTTTCCAAAGAATCCGCCCTGTCCCCTTCAGCCCAGACTCCTGAGCATGTGGCTCAGCGGCTGGACATTTACTGAGCAACTATCACATGCTGGTCAGTTTTTAGGTCCTGTGACTGTGCTAGGCACTGGAACAGATAAAAACAAAAACAAAAAGGCCTTCTGCTGAGCACGGGGGCGAAGCAGGGCCTCCCTTCCCAAGCCAACCCAGGCAAGCTGACCAAACTCCTGCCAGAAAAGCCAACTACAAACAAGAGAGCCAGGACGGGGGTGGGGGCTGCTCAAAGGGCAGCCCAAGACCCTGGGTTCAGGCCTAGCCCCATCAAAAAAGAAAATGTAGGTCCCTGCCTCCGTCCCAGGTGGATGGGGCCCAAGGGAAAGAAAGGGTCCTGGCGTGGAGGCTGGTGTGTGTGTGTGTGTGTGTGTGTGTGTGTGTGCATGCGCGCACACGCTTGTGCATGGCCAGGCGCAGCCACAGCTCTTCTCACCCACCCTCTCCTGGTCTTTACCTGCCACCCACACCAGGGTCCCCAAGACAGAGCCAGCTTGACCTGGGTGCCTTCCACAGAGGGGCGGCTGGGGCCACCAAGTCTGTCGCAGCGTCCTTGCCTGCCTGGAACAGGGGGGGCTCACTGGGCAGCTGCGCTGTCTGGGGGTGGCCTTGCCTGCTCCATGGGCTCTGAGGCAGAGCCTGCACATGAGTGTGCATGTGTGTGCACATGTATGTGCATACATGTGTGCATGCAGTGAATACATGTGTGCATGCATGTGCATGCGGGTGTGCATGCAGTGAATACATGTGTGCCTGTATGCATGCATGTGCATACATGCGTGCATGCAGTGCATATGTGTGTGTATGCAGTGCATATGTGTACATGTGTGCATGCATGTGCAAATGTGTGTGCATCCAGGTAAGGCGTGTGATTCAACACCCCACAGTACACAGGATTGTCCTCTGCCCCCCAACAATACCCAGCCCCAGGTGTCACTCAAATCAGAGTCTTGTTCCATGGCTTTTAACAGCAGGACCTGTCGGTGCCTTTACTGCCGCGAGCAGATGCCATTTCCCAGTGGATAAAGGAGAGGTGATTTGTTGGGGTTAAGATGGGTGGCAGAGAACTGCCTTTGGGAGACAGGCCTGGATTCTTAGCACAGAAGCTGGCCCAGTAGTTGAAATGTTCAGTGCCTCTGTGTGTCTTTTGTATGTGTGTGTGGTGCCAGTCCTGGGGCTTCAACTCAGGGCCTGGGCACTGTCCCTGAGCTTTTTCACTCAAGCCTAGCACTCTTACAGTTTGGGCCACAGTTCTGCTTCCAGCTTTTTGGTGGTTCATTGGAGATAAGAGTCTCATGGACTTTCCTGCCTAGACTGGCTTTGAGCCACGATCTTCAGATCTTAGCCTCCTGAGTAGCTGGGATTCCAGGCGTGAGCACCAATGCCCTCTGTTTAGTGAGATGGGTAGTAGGGGGCAGCAAAGTACCCTCAGCAGAGGTGGGGGGGTGAGGGAGCTGGGTTTGCTTCTTCCTGCTCAGGACCCTGGCAGGACAACAGCACTGTGCCCAGAGCCGGCCGAGCACCCACACAGGAGTCCTCCCGCCTGTCTCCTAGGCCTTGGTCTGCACGCTGTACTTCCCGTTCTACTGTGGGATGATTCCCCCTGAGTTCAGAGGGGAGGTGAGTGTGTGGCCCTCCGCGCCCAGGCCTGGCCTTGACCCCTGGCAGCCCTGCAGCATGCATGCACCACCAGACCTGGGGGGGCACCCTGCTCTGCGAGCACCGCTGCCCACAGGCCCCAGGGCCCCTCCGCAGGGTGCCGGGTGCCCTCCTCGGCCGGGACGCCCCGCACCCTGCATTGCAGGGCTTGGCTGCAGAGTGGAGCTCCCCAGAGGGTCCGCCTGGGCAGCCAGTCCCATGGGGCGGGTGGAAGGGGGCACGGCAGCCGGCCCACCCACCCTCCTCCATTCTAGCGCTACATTGACGGGGCTCTGAGCAACAACCTGCCGTTCTCCGACTGTCCCTCCACCATCACCGTGTCGCCCTTCCCCGGGACCGTGGATATCTGCCCCCCGAGCGGCTCGGCCAGCCTGCACGAGCTCAACGCCTTCAACGCCAGCTTTCAGATCTCCACCACCAACTTCTTCCTCGGACTGTTGTCCCTCATTCCCCCCAAGCCCGAGGTAGGTCTGGCCAGGTGTGGGAGGCTGGTGGCAGGGGAGGCCCTGCGCCCCAGACTCCGAATCCCCACAGGCTCTGGGCCCTCGATCCACATCCGGGGTTTGGGCGGCCTCTGGCTGTTCCTTCCATCTGTGAGCAGACATCAGTCAGCCTGGGCCCAGGTTGGGGTGGGGACGTGGGGGGGGGAGAGGCTGGGCGCCAGAGCCGGGCTCCCCCCTCCCCCCCCCCCCCCCGCTGGGCCATCCTAGACAGGGCTCTGCCAGCACTGCCTCTCATCACCTCCATTTCTTGGGGATCCTCACTGAGAGTCAGAGACATGAAGCAACTTACTCAGAGTCATACAGCCGGGAAATAGCAGAGCTGAGATCCAGCAGTCCAGACCAGCAGTGTTGGCCGTGGGCGGGTTGCAGCACCAGGTCGTGGCCAGGTTGCCTCTTGGAGGGAAGGCAGAACACAGACTCACACCAAAATGGATAGGAAACTGGAGTTCCTGCCCATAGCTGACTCTCCCTCATGTGCGGGGCGCTATTGTTCACCCCTTAAGTTCTGGTTTACTCCGGGGCTCCCCTACAGCCCTGGGCTCAGCATAAACTCTTTGCTCCATTGTTTTTTGATGTGGGTCAGTCCAGGGACTTGAACTCATGGCCTTGGTGCTGTCCCTGAGCTTTTTCACTCAAGGCTAGTACTCTACTACTTGAGCCACAGCTCCACTTCTGGCTTTTTGATAGTTCATTGGACATAAAAGTCTTATAGAGCTGGGTACCGGTGGCTCACACCTGTAATCCTAGCTACTCTGGAGGCTGAGATCTGAGGATCATGGTTCAAAGCCAGCCTGGACAGGAAAGTCCATGAGACTCTTATCTCCAATGAACCACCAGAAAACTAGAAGTGGTGCTGTGGCTCAAAGTGGTAGAGCTCTAGCCTTGAGCACAAAAGCTCAGAGACAGTGCCCAGGCGCTGAGTTCAAGCGCCATCTCTCTCTCTCTCTCTCACACACACACACAATCTTATGGACTTTCCTGCTCTAGCTGGCTTTGAATCACAATGATCAAATCTCAGCCTCCCAGGTAGCTGGGATTATAAGCGTGAACCCCTGGCGCCCAGCTTTTTCTCTGCTGCATTTTCATAGAGGAGGCCAGGGCTCTCAGAGTGGTCACACCAGGGGGGTCGGGGGGGGGGGAGGGGGGAGGGCACTCCCTTACCGGCCTGCAATGCCCCTTCCTTGCAGTGGTCTCTGATGAGGCAGTGTGGGCATGTGGGCTCCTCTGCCCACTAGGCTGGTCATAGCACTGTACCCAGACAGGCAAAGGGAAGCACCCACAGACTTGCCGGGCGCTAGGCTGAGGCCCAGCCCTCTGCTTCCCAGAGTCCCCGCTCTGGCCAGGGCAGATCTGTGCTACCAGCTCCCCGACCTCCCGTGGGTCTCTCTCCCTGGAGGGGGCCTCTGGGGCTCACCCCGGGCCAAGGCCTATGCTGGGACCTCACCCAGAGGAACACTGCTCTCTGGTGGTGACCACTGGTCCTGGGGAGGCCCAGGCCCGCCCACCCTCCCTGGCTGGTGTGTTGACAGGTGGTGGCTGACAACTGCAGACAAGGCTACCTGGATGCCCTGCGGTTCCTGGAGACTCGAGGTAGGTAGGACGCTGGGGACAGAGGCTGGGTGGACCTGGCACACGACAGAGAAGGCAGGGACAAGGGCAGAGCCTGGAGGCCTGAAGGAGGCACTGCACTCGGAGCTGGGGTGGGGGGCACAGGCCAGGAGGGCGTCCTGAAGGCAGCAGCCAGAGGCTGGTTTGTGACTAGCTGAGGTGTGAGTAACTAGGTTAAAGGCCCTAAGGAGGGGCTGGGAAGGTGGCTCAGTGGTAGAGCGCTTGCCTTGCATGCATGAGGCCCTGGGTTCGATTCCTCAGCACCACATAAACAAAAAGAAAAAAGCCGGAAGTGGCGCTGTGGCTCAAGTGGTAGAGTGCTAGCCTTGAGCTGAAGAACTGAGGGACAGTGCCCAGGCCCAGAGTTCAGGCCCCACGACTGGACCCCCCCCCCCAAAAAAAAAAAAGACCCAAGGAAGAGGCCGGTAGGGGCAGAGGCCATGCAGAGAGCTGAGCCAGGAGTGGCCTGGGCTGGAGACCTGGGCCAGCAGCTGGGGGCAGTGCGGGTTCCTGGGCCCTGCTCCAGGATTCACACCCAGCCGTGCCTCCATCCAAATGTAGCCCACACTCTGGCCTGGGCTGATGCTAACTTTGAATCCCCTTTATTTGTGGTGTGTGTGTGTGTGTGTGTGCGCGTGTGCGCGTGCGTGCCTAAGGCTTGAGCTCAGCGTCTGGGCACTGTCTCTTAGCTTTTTTGCTCAAGGCTGGCTCTCTACCACTTGGGCCACAGCTCCACTCTTAGGCAGGAGCTGTGCTGGTGCCTGGGGCAGCTGGGGGCCCTAGAGCTGGGGTAAGCTCAGGTGCCGAGGGGCACATGTCTGTGCTGACTGTGGTCTCCTCTCCCCACGCCCAGGACTCACCAGGGAGCCACTTCTGTGGTTGTTGATGTCTAAGGAGCCCCCGGCCCCGGAGGAGAAGCCTCCAGAAGTCCACCATGTCCGGGGCCGGCAGGTCGGCCTGTCGGTACGCTGGGACGTGCCCAGCGTGCTGGTGAAGAACGTGCCCAACTTTGAGCAACTGGCGCCGGAGCTGGAGGCCGGTACTGCACCCTCTCCCCCACCCCACCGCTCCCCTCCCCAGCCAGCACCCTCCCCCACAGCTGGTTTGCTCAATGTGTGCTCCATCACTCGAGCCATGCCTCTAGCCTGGCTTCTTGCAGGTTGTTTTGGAGATACAAATCTTATGCCCAGGCTATCTTTGAGCCTTGATCCTCAGATCTCAGCCTCCTGAGTAGCTGGGATTACAGGGGTGAGCCACCAGTACCTGGAAGGCAAGGGGCTTTTTATGTGCCATCAGGCATCCCTCCCTCAGCCTGGCCATCTCTGTGGTCCTCACCCCATTTATGGATGAGGAAACTGAGGCTCAGAGAAGGAAGGGACACAGTCTGCGGCTGGGAAGTGGAGGTATACAGGAGAGACCCCCCAGAGAGGGCTCGTGTCCTCCATGAGCAAGGCTTGGAAAGCAACCATGGCACATACAGTGGAAGGGACTTCTCAAGCTGCCAACCAGCTAACAGAAAACTAGGCTCTGCCCTAGTGACTCTGAAAAAAGTTGCAAGGATAGGAAAGCATGAGATGATTCCACAGGTCCAGGTAATGGTGTGCGATTAGCCCAAGTGGCCCCAAAGGGAGATGAGAAATGTTGGCCAAGAAAGGTGAGAATGTTGCGTATCGGGACAGTTGGCATAGCATTTACAAAGGACCTGGGGTTGCACAGGGAGAGCCAGAAGATCCATGGGAGGACAGCTGACCAAGAGAGAGTTGGGGAGCCTCGTGGAACCTAGTGGGCCTTGCTGGGAGGCAAGAGGAAGGAGAGGTGGGAGGTGATGGCCTTCTGGGCCTTGCTGCGCCTTCCCAGTGCAGAGCCATCCTGGCTGGTCCTTGCCCAGACCCGATGGGCTCCTGGCCACCCGCGGGCGCCGGGGGGGCGGCCGGCCGGGCCCAGGCTGGCATGGGGCTTCTCCCGCAGCTCTCCGGAAGGCCTGCACGAGGGACCCGGGGCTCTGGGCCCGCTTCCAGTGCTCAGTGCCCGGGCGGGCACTGACGTACCTGCTGCTGCCTTGCACGCTGCCCTTCGAGTATGTCTACTTCCGGAGCAGGAGGTGAGGCTCAGCGGGGACCGCGGGCCTGGGCCAGGCACTCGGGGTAGGCAGAGCTGGCAGGGCGCGGCTGCCCTCCTCGGAGGACCTGGGCTGCCTGGCTTCCTGCCGGCCCCACCAGTGGGCGGGGCGGGCGGGGCGGGGCACAGCCACTGTGATTGGCCTGCGGGGGCGGGGCAGGGCGGGGCACAGCTGCTGTGATTGGCCATAGTGGGTGGGGCGGGGCTACTGTGTTCAGGACCGGTCCGCACTCTGCTCCTGCCCCTTCCCTGGCCTTTGATCCCGGCCTCCACTCAGCAGAGCCTCACAGAGGCAGCTCTGGTCCTCGGGTAACTTGGGACCAGGGTTGTTGTGAGGCCGGGTCGGCTCTCTGGGCCCCATCTGTCTTTTCTGTGAAGCAGGGAGCGCCCTTCAGAGTCGCCTGGCTGTGGCTAGCTTGGTGGTTCATGGACTGCTGGCCTTACCCTGTCCGCCACGGGTGATGGCCGAACCCCTGGGGCCACGCGCTGGCCGGGAACAGCGGGACCGAGGCCGGATTCCCGGCTTCACAGAGCCCACAGCCCGCACCAGTCCTACCGTCACCCGCTGGGCCTCAGCTTCTCCCACTGATGATGCCTCCCGCAGGGCCGCCTGGCCGGGCATGGCTGCCCAGAGGAGATGATGTGTGAGCTACCAGCGGAGGGCTGGGCCAGACTCCATTAGGCAAAGGAAGAGAGGGAGCAGCACTGCAGGAATCTGGTGCAGTCCGTGCAAGGGTCCTCAGGCAGAAGGGCAGAGGGCCATTCCAGGGCTAGAAAGGGGAGGTGGTGTGGCTGAAGACAGTGGCCGGTGCGCTGTACCAGATGGCCACATGGTCTGGACACCCAGGACCCTGCAGCCATTGGGTGTGTCTATGTCCTGATAGGAGGGGATACAGTGAAGGGTCAGACAGAGAGGAGTCCCAGTGCGAGCGTGTGCGTGCGCGTGTGCGCATACACACACACACACACACACACACACACACACACACACACACACACAGAGTTCTCTAGATGGAACTCTGTGGCAGTGAACCACAGGTCTCGGTCCTGGTCCGTGCTGAGTTAATGGTGTGGTCAGCCATGGTCTCCCAGGCTGGGAGAGCTTTATGCTGAGGATTTTCCTTGTGTGTCAGGCTGCTTGCTGAGGCCTCAGGGTGAGATGAAAAAGAATAAGTGTAAGATCTAGTCTTTGCAGAGTTGGCCCAGACTCCAGGGGCATTCACTCTGAGTGTTTCCATGGCTGCAGGTAGAGGTTGCATTAGCAAGGGAGATGACGGTCATGTCATAGTTCAGAGGTGTCCCTTCCCAGGCACAGTGGCATATGGGAGCCCTGGATGTCTAGCACATGAGTCCCCAGCCCAGTTTGCTGTGGTGCTGGTGCAGTCCAAGCACATCAGTTCTGCCACTGGCTCGGTCATGACAGCAGTGGTGGCCATGGTGTTCTGAGTAAGAGGACGTTGGAGAACAGTTTCCAGCATTGGGAAGGCGTGGAGAAAGGGCATGGGGTGGAGAGAGGGAAGAGGGATGAAGTCTGTTAGAGACAGCAACTGGGCTGAGGCCCAGAGAGGTTGTCTGACCTTCCCTGGTTGCACAGCCAATGAGCAGGACAACTGGGCCCTCCCTGGGGCCAGCTTGACCCCACGCCTGCCCCTCCCACCCATGGCTTCCCCACAGCGCTGTGGAATCTGTGTCTCCCAGATCATGAACTCTGCCTCCCACTCCTGCTGACCCCGGGGAATCCTCAGGAAGCTGATGTGGCCCCTCCCCACAGGCTGGCGCTGTGGCTGCCTGAGGTGCCAGCTGACCTGCGCTGGATGCGGGACCAGCTGAAAGGTGCAACCCTGGAGGTCTGTAGCAGGCTGTGGGCACAGCTCCTGGGGCAGGGCAGGTAAGGTTGGCGGAAGGACCTGGAGGGGGACACAGGCTCCGTCCCAGGCCCTGGGAAGGCAGAGATCACCCACCACTCCACCCTGGTCACCGCCGGGTGCCATGCCTAGGTTGCCAGTCAGACGGCACGCTAGGGCAGGAGGAGAAGCAGATGCCCTCTGGCCATCCCTGCCACAGTTCCAGACATCCCAGGGATATGGGCACCCTGTGTGGTCACCCAGCAGTCCCCTGGCAGGAGGCTCAGCTGCCCACCTCCCCACGGCCCTGCTGGGCACCGGCCTGGAGCTTTGCTGCCCTGCTCTGCAGACAGGACTGGGGAGGGGCGTAGCTGGGCTGCTTTCCCTCATGATGTCACTGAACCACAGGCTCTGACCTTGACTCCTCCCTCTGCTCCCTCTGCAGGCTGCCGGTGGTCCCCAGCGTGGTGGACTCCCATCCCCTCCAGCCCCAGGACCCGGCCATGCATCCCAGCTCCACCCAGCAGACCTGTGGGGTGCCAGACAGGGCCAGCCCAGGGACCAGTCTCTCCTGACTGGGCTGGGATGAGTCAGGCGGGCGGCCTGCCCCTGGCTCGTCCAATGGGAGCTTAGAACCTGACACTGACCCTGCAGATGCTCTGGGGGTGCAGGCTGGAGATGGCGCCCTGCTCCCCTGAGAGGCCCCCCTCCGGGGGAGGGTTATGGTATTTATTCATCCTCTGTGGCTGCTGTCCTTGGGAATTCACGCCTGGAACCTTGCACTTCTTTTGGGAGGAGGCTGGTCCTGTCCAGATGTCCCCACACTACAATGTCCCCAGCTGCAGCCCCCCACCCCGCTCCCCGTCTCCTTGGGGGAGAAGGGACGGCAGGAGCAAAGACAGATCTCGGTTCTGGGTCCCTATGCAGGGACCCAGAAAGCACTGGGTGGAGGAGGGGTCACCAATCACATCACAGAAACCTGGTCTGGTGCCCGGATGCCCAGAGCAGGGGCACAAGTGGAACAACAGGGCCCCCAATTCCTCTCTGCTCCCCACTGTCCTGCACCGGCCCTGGGGGCGGCCACCCCATGTCCACCTCTCCTGGCAAGTTTGATCTCTGACTGGGCATCAGGCCCACCGGTGAGCCCGCAGGAGACGGAAGGAAAGGGGCAGGTTTCATTTGTTGGCATTCCCAGTTGCAAATGCTTCTGCAGGACCTCAGAACTGGCTGCCACCTCTGTGGGCCCCCCTCCACAGTGCTCTGGGGCATGCTGGCCTCCTCTGGCCTCTTCTGGGAGTCTCTGCTCTTCCTGTCCCCAGAAAAAGCCACCCTGTGCCAGTGCAGCAATGGAAGCATGGGTGAGAGAAGGGACGCAGGAATAAATCTGTGAGCAAGAGTGGGACGGAGTCATTCCTTCACTCGTCATTCATTCATCCATTCGGCTTGGTGTGTGTGTGTGTGTGTGTGTGTGTGTGTGTGTATGTGTGTGTGTGCTGGCCCTGAGGTTTGGACTCAGGGTCAGAGTGCTCTCTCTTCACTCATGATGAGAACATTTGTCATTGAGCTGGGAGCTGACAAGCGCTTGATGTGTGCTGAGTAGTGATACCGGCTGGGGTAAAGGCTCTGTGCCACAGGCAGGGGTGCAGGGGTGCTGGGGTACAGGGTCCAGATTGGGGCAGGAGAAGCAAGAGATGGATGAAGAGTAAGCATGTGGTGTGTGGGCACAGGGAGGGACAGCAGTGGAATCACACAGGAGTGCCCTTCCTCTGTCCTCCCCTACCTCTCCCCCCACCCCCCTGCATCTTGGGCCCCGCTTGCTGTCCCCTGGATGGGGCAGGCGGCAGTGGCTCATGTGTGAATGTCGTCTGCTCCCAGCATGCCCAATGCACCGGGGTCGACATGCCCAGGGCCCTGCACAGCACTGTTGAGAAGCACTTTCTTGGTTTCTGACTTACTGAGCTCATACAAGTGGTGGGAAAAATCCCCACAGGCCTCAGCTTGCTCTTCCTGCTGGGGACAGAAAGTGGACATTGGTCTTCCCTGAGAGCTCATCTCCCTGGGGACAGCCCCAGCAAGGTGTGTCCAACACACAGAACACCTGAGTTGAGCTGAGTTGAGGTACAGCGCTCGCCTAGCACGCATGAAGCCCTGGGTCCATTCCTCAGTACCACATAGACAGAAAAAGCCACAAGTGGCACTGTGGTTCATGCAGTGGAGTGCTAGCCTTGAGCAAAAGCGGCTCAGGGACAGTGTCCAGGTCCTGAGTTCAAGCCCCAGGTCTGGTAAAAACAACAACAAAACAAAATACCAACACCTGAGTTAACAGTGTAAAAGGAAACAATGTAAGGGAGCGGTGTAAGGGAGGACAGAGCTTGTTCATGGCTTCAGGTCCATAGCCAGCAGGCTCGATTGCTCTGCCTCATGACAGAAGGACAGGCAGGGAGTGGGCCTCCCCCTCCCACCTCCATTCCATCTGGACCCACTGGCCACTGGATGGTGCTGCCCACATTCAGGGTGGATCTTCCCCTGCAGTGGCTGTCCCACCTGCCAGTCATCTCTGGCAACGCCCTCACAGACACATCCAGCCCTGTGTTCTCAATTCAGACAAGTGGCTAGCCAAGGCTCATCACACCTAGGATGCTGCTAAATCAAGTCCAGCCCTGCACCCCACCAGGTCCCTCAGGACCCAAGGGGTCCAGTAGTGCCCCCTTATGATGCCCCAGTATCAGACCTAAATCATCCTCCCACACCACCCCCCCCCTCCATCCACAGCGCTGGCCCTTAGCCAGCTGGCTACACTGATGTTTGTGCTGTTGGCAGCAAGGAAGGTTACTACTGAGCCCTCTGCTGGGCATTTTTCAAATAGGACCTCACTGTTTGCCTAGGCCTGCCTAGACCACAATCAATCTTCCTTCCTTCCTTCCTTCCTTCCTTCCTTCCTTCCTTCCTTCCTTCCTTCCTTCCTTCCTGTTTCTTTCTTCCTTCCTGTTTCTCTCTCTCTCTCTCTCTCTCTCTCTCTCTCTCTCTCTCTCTCTATCTCTATCTCTCTGTGTCATAGGGCTTGAACTCTGGGCCTGGGCGCTGTCCCTCAGCTCTTCAGCTCAAGGTGAGTGTTCTACCTCTTGAGCCACAGCGCCACTTCTGGTTTTCTGGTGGTTTATTGGATAAGAGTCTCATGGACTTTCCTACCTGGGCTAGTTTGAACTGTGATCCTCAGATCTCAGACTCCTGAGTAGCTAGGATTACAGGTATGAGCCCCAGGTGCCAGCTAGACCACAACCTTTCTATGACAGGTACACACTACTACATCCAGCTATTGGTTGAGATGGGGTCTTATGACCTTTAGGCCCAAGCTGGCCTCCATCCGTAATCCTCCCAATCTCAGCCTCCCAAGTGGCCAGGGATGCATGTGTGAGCCACTGGCACTGGGCAGTATCTTCCTGAGTTCTCACTGCAGCCTGGGAGGAGGGGCTGGGGCAGGCTGGGGCCAGGCTGGCTACACTGACGCTTGTGCTGTAGGCAGAGGGACAAATCTCTGGACCAGCACAGCCTCCCTGGCCTTGTGGTCTTCCTATCTTTAAAATCGGAGGCTGTGCTGGATGCTTCTAGGGTAGTGGTTGTGGCTCCAACTAGGCTCCAAGCCCACAGAACACACAACCAATACCTCTGGGCAGGGGAGGAGGGGCTGTTCAGGAAGGGTTTCAGGAGGGTTTCCTAGGTGCTAGGATTGTGTGGGAGGGAAACTATGGGGGTGGCCTGTGGTCCATGAAACTCACCAGCAACCTGGAGTTCAGCCAGTCAAAGTCCTCATCTAGGTCACATGACCCGCCACAGGTGATGTCAGCTGGGGGGGGAGGGGAGAGGACATGGCTCTGCCCTTTCTAGACCCCCCCCCCCCAATGCTCAAGATCCTCCTTTTCTTTTTGTGCCAGTCCTGGGGCTTGAACTCAGGACCTTGCACTGTTGACTGACTTTTGTTTTGCTCAAGGCTGGTACCATTTGAGCCACACCCCTATTTCTGGCTTTTTACTAATGGAAGATAAGAGTCTCTGGGATTTTTCTGCCCAAGCTGGCTCTCAGCCTCTTGAGTAGCTAGGATTACAGATGGAGCCACCGGTGCCTAGCTAGGTAATGTGCCTTGAACTGACCTTGTGTTGGCAGGAGCCTGTAGTTCCTGGATGCCAGTGTCCTCAGGGCCCCCCTATGGGGCAGCCACGTGCCTGAGTCTGCACCTTGTGCCCAGCTTGCTGGCAAGAGGCAAGTGCCTATTTGGAGCTGGGGTCATGCGATGTGAGCACTGCACTAGGAGTCCCCGAGTGGGTGCCTGCACCCTACAGACACTGTGCACCCCAGGCATAGATCTGATTGTGTGTGCCAAATTGCAATGTTTGGCAAGGTTAGGGAGCGAAGGTTGCTCCGAAGGTGTGTTTGTGTATTGGGGACAGACTTTCAGAGAGCCAATGTCTTAGAGGCCCATCCACAATAGGAAAGACTGGCTTTAAAGTCGCCCACATGGCTGTAGAGATGGATGGGCATTGATGGTAGTTGAGTCATTGGTGTGGAGAAGTTGCTTGTCACTTTTTTCTGATTTTGTGTGTGTAACCAACAAGTATTTAACACTAAGATTAAGTTTAATAGAAAAATATGCCTCAAGAGAGACAACAGACAAAGCAAAACCGAGGAGGAATCGAGCTTGCTTGCAGACCCCCTTGTTCAGGACGATGGAGCCACAGCCGGTCAGCACCACGGACAGCGGCCAGAGTTTTCCCCGGACTCAGCAGCCAGCCCAGGGATTTGAGTGTTGAGCAGGTGAGCGTCCAGCTCCCTTCTGTGTGTGTGTGTGTGTGTGTGTGTGTGTGTGTGTGTGTGTGTGTGTATGTATGTCCTTGTTGGCTCTTATAGCTCTCATCATGTAACCAGTGTGGAGGGAAAGACAGGATGTTCCACACAACCCAGAGAGCGTCCTGTGCCGGGTGTCTGTTCCCATTTAACTATACCCGGTGTTAGTCTTCTCCTCCCTCCAGCTCTGCATGACCCAGGAGCCAAGAGAAATGAAATCAGGCATCTTTCCTGTTTGGTCATCAAACATAAAACTGTCTTTCTTCCTCAGCCCTGCGAGGTGGACACCCATCGTGAGGGCATGTGGCCTCCGTCCTCACCCCCTCATGGTGGTGTCCATCAGGACACGCTGGCCTCTGTCCTCACCCCCGTGTGGTGGCCGTCCATCATGAGGGCATGTGGCCTCCGTCCTCACCCCTGCGTGGTGGCCATCCATCGTGAGGGCATGCTGGCCTCCGTCCTCACCCCTGCGTGGTGGCCGTCCATCGTGAGGGCATGCTGGCCTCTGTCCTCACCCCCGTGTGGTGGACGTCCATCGTGAGGGCATGCTGGCCTCTGTCCTCACCCCCATGTGGTGGACGTCCATCATGAGGGCATGTGGCCTCCGTCCTCACCCCTGCGTGGTGGCCGTCCATTGTAACGGTACGCTGGCCTCTGGCCTCACCCCTGCGTGATGGGCGTCCGTCGCGAGGGCATGCTGGCCCCCGTCCAGGGACATTTCAATTGTTTCCAGGTCTTATCTGAGATGCCCACACTGACCCGCTTTGGCCTTGGGGTCCCCCTCACCCACACCGGTGTCCTTTTGACCTGTTCCGATTACTCTGAACGCTTGCTTCTTTGGGGGCTCAGCCTCATACTTGAGGCTCACCCTTCTCCCTCTGGAACTGACCTCTTCTCCAACGAACCTCTCCGGTTCCTGGGCTGGCAGAAGAACTTGGAGACAGCCTCTCCAGCAATGGTAACAAACGGGTATTCTCAGTGCCATCAACCCAGGTCAGCCCTCCAGTTCCGGCCCGCGCCGGGTTCTTCCCTCCTCCCCTCCTCCCCTCCTCCCCCGAGGGAAGAGCGCCTCCTGGCGGACACACCGCTCCCTGGACGGGAGGCCTGGCCTTCACCCCAGCGGCTGTTCATAACACCCGG